ATATATATATATATGTATATAACATATATATATAATATAATTTAGGTTAATGTCAATTTATAAATACATAAAAATATTAAATATAGATAAATATTAAATATAGAAATGAAAACTGAAGTACTGGCAGATCTTTTCTTCCATATTGTGATAAGTTTTGTATATCTAATAAGGTTCAGGTAGTCCATTTTAAAATCTTTCATAAAATTTATCCCGTTAATTCTTCCATTTTTACATATTGTGACATTGATAAGACATGCTGTTTCTGCGATGTATTAGAAGAAACACCTGTCAATTTATTCTTTAATTGTAAATAATGTAAAGTGTTCTTTAATCACATTACTTAAGACTTTTAAATCTTCACGAGAGTTTATTTAAAGATGTGACTAGATTTTGATTTTATGCTTTTCTATTATGTGCATTTTGTTCCAATGTGTTTTCCTATGTAGTTCTTTCAAATTTGAGATATGATTGTGATTTCCCTGTTCATTTATGTGATTCTATGTTCTGCAAATAAATAAATATTATAAAAATGTATATATAATATTTTTATTAATCTTTCATAAAATTTATCCCGTTAATTCTTCCATTTTTACATATTGTGACATTGATAAGACATGCTGTTTCTGCGATGTATTAGAAGAAACACCTGTCAATTTATTCTTTAATTGTAAATAATGTAAAGTGTTCTTTAATCACATTACTTAAGACTTTTAAATCTTCACGAGAGTTTATTTAAAGATGTGACTAGATTTTGATTTTATGCTTTTCTATTATGTGCATTTTGTTCCAATGTGTTTTCCTATGTAGTTCTTTCAAATTTGAGATATGATTGTGATTTCCCTGTTCATTTATGTGATTCTATGTTCTGCAAATAAATAAATATTATAAAAATGTATATATAATATTTTTATTAAATATATAAAAATGTGTGTGGTCAGTTTTTTTTTTATTAAATGGATGAATCATTCAAATTACGATAAATAAAATGAATACAGAAAATAGATGGAGTGAATTTGCATTTCATGCAAACTACAAATATACTGTTGCTCATTGTTTTATCGAGTTATAACATAAGATGAATAAATGCTTGAAGTATTGTTCATCAGTAGTTAGCTGTTTTATTAACTAATGTTAATGTATATAACCTTGTCATAAAGTGTTACCGGAAAGCTTTAAAAAAAAAATATATATATATATATATCTGTGGTTGAGCCCTAGATACTCACCCTTGATTTACCAGCAAATATATTATACCATAACCATTGTATGCATGCTTACCATTTTATGTAGAGTGTAAAATTCACTGTATCGTTTCTCAACAGTATGCTGTCTACCACACATGAGCACCTCGATCTTAAAAACCTGTCAGAAAAAATGCGTTTCCGTTATTTCTCTTACATATAATGCAGTGAACTGGAATGACTCGAATGCATCACAATGAATTCACTTTAAATACAGACTATATCAAAACCTAGACATCATTTTGGGCAGCATAGGCAGGGCTGGAGAGTGACAATCCAGTTCAAACGCGCCCAACATGCTCTGAAATAGTCATTTCGCTAGGTTTTGGGACACTGCCAAAACGTATACGCCTTAAAATCGACATTAATTGTTATTCACTGAGGTGAAGCGTAATGTTTGCTGTCGTACCTTTTAATGGCAGCGTGTTTACGCCCGCTGCCTCGATCTGAAAACAGATATTTAACTCACCGTGTAGCCCTTCTCCACGTTACTGCCCTCCGATCGAAAAGACGGGATCGACACTTCTATAGGATGCATGATCCGGCAAGATATATCCGTTATTATGTGGCACGACAGGTCAAATAACTGTACGAGATTTCTGGTGGGTCCTTCACTGTGATTTTAATGGTTGTCAAGTTCACTGAGCGCCTGACATGAGAAGAATTGAAAATATTCCACGCGCTTCTTCTCCATCGCACGCAGGAGGTTCAGCGGTGAGTCTGCGGATGCAATGCTGCCACCTGTCGTTCTGACCGGGAAATACATCAGCAGCCCGGCGCCCCAAAACATAAACATTTGGGTAGTTGACAAATATGCCGTAAAAATGCTTTATACATATATTTATGTAGTGTGAACTATAATGTAGAAAATATAAGGGGTCATTAACCTTTGCAATTTTTTCACTGGTTTTTTTTTGTTTTGTTACATTTTTACTGAACTACCATAAATGTGTGTCCTATGGTGTGACATAGCAAAAATGAAGAAAAACTCTTAATAATATACAAATAACATGAGAGATTTATCTTTATTGTTAGACACTTATTTTCATATATTGTTATTTATTTAATATGAAATTATGAATAACATTATTTTCCCCCATGACTTTTTCAAGAAGAACTTTGATGAGACAAACAACAAGTCATCCTTTCAAAATTGCAGAAAATTATACCATTATAAGATGAGAGTTGATTTTATCTCCCTACTGTAATACTCAACTGTTCTTTAAGATATTTGGAGATAAAAAACAAATCTGCGGTTCTTTTATGTGTGTCATATCATAGGACTTTACGTCACACTAAAGGACAGAAATGGTAGTTACTGCTTTAAAGAGAAAGTGAAATGCATTACATTAAAGTATTTTTATTTAACTTTGAATATGTCAAAGAAGAAAGAAAGTGTAATTTTGATACAAACAATATCAACATGTTTTATAAACAAAACAAAAAAAATGTCATTAACAAAATTCAGTCACTTAGTCGATCAGTATGTTACTGAAACTCTTCTAGAGCCAGCGTTAATTTTCTCTCTATACTTCCATGTTCTCTCTCTCACTCAATTCTTTCTGTGTACATGTCATGGGCTTCAGTAACATGGCCTTGAATGGGGTCCTTCAGCTAATTAAAGATGTCTGTGGAATTGCCCGATTTAAAATCAGGATATGTTGTCACACCAGAGGACATGGTTTTCAGTGACAAAATGTATCAAGTTCCTACGCTTTTAGAACTATATGGATGAAAATCCTCTGCAGTGAATGGGTGCCGTCAGAATGAGAGTCCAAACAGCTGATAAAAACATCACAATAATCCACAAGTAATCCACATGACTCCAGTCCATCAATTAACATTTTGTTAAACGAAAAGCTGTGTTTGAAGGAAACAAATCCATCATTAAAAAGTTTTTAACTTCAAGCCGTTGCTTCCAGCTAAAAATATGAGTGCTAGTGAAACTGCAGAGGATCCATTGACGAGCAAGTGATGCAATGATACATTTTTCCAAATCAGTTTCCATGAAGAAACAAACTCATATAGGAGGTTATGAGGGCGTGTACATTTTCAGCAAATTTTCATTACTGTATGAACTATTCTTTTAAATGAGTGAAGAACAGCTGCTGTTAGATCTATGCAATAATCAACATTATTATAGTTAAGTGCACCCCAAAGTTTGGTTACGGTTTGCAAAAACTGCAAAAAACACAAACAAAAAACAACAACAGCACATATAATATTTATTTTGAGCAAACAACATTTTCTGAATGTCATTTAATGAGGCTGAGTGTGAAGTTATTTATTCAAGTAATTTTCATTTCATATATAAAACGTGTTGCACTAATATGAGCATCTGTATATAAATATCTACTTAGAATACACAACTAAAGCATCGCTCTAGCACACTAAAGCATGTTTAAGGTAAAAACCCCAGTGTGGATCAATATCTGAAGGTTTAATGTTTATCATTTATCAGTCTGAGAGAATGATGCTGAATGATTTGGGGAATGTGTGGTATCTCTGCAAACGGTTTCATCCAAATTTCTATAGGAATCCAGCACAATATGACCCTGGACTCTTTGTTTTTCTTTTTTCATTTTTGCTTAGTAATTTCATAGCAAAAAAAAAGAATAATGCAATTCACTGTAAAACTGGATTAATGCCTCAGGTTTTTATATTCTGTGGCATAGTCAACACTAAAATGCCCTGCTGATTATTGGCTCTCACAAACAGGAAAGTGGCCCATGATCGGCGTCCATTCATCTGTTCACTTTGTCGCAGGTTTTTTATCATCAAAAACTTCATTTCTGATTATCTTTCCCTATTCCTTAGGATCCTTTAGTAGATTCTTAATACCTGAAATAAACATAGCATATTAATGTCTTTGGTTTAACTAGTCAATTGAAATATACAGTATACAATATAAAATAAATGAAGCATACTCACTGTGAAATATGACATCCTGAAACATAAACGTAGTTTCCGGTGTAACGTACATCGCAGTGCACATTATTGTTACTGTAGTCCGACTCTGGCACCTGGTAACTGGGATTTATACTAACCTAAACCAGAAAAAGAAAAACAGGCTGGAAGTCAGGAACGTGATATTGGATATTTCTTGAATGCAGTAACTCTTGATTAAGGCCAAAAACCTTGAGGATGTAGTTTCCAGGTTTCACATCAGTAATATCTATCCACTGGCAGTCGATGTCGGCATTGTAAGTGTCATAACACCCTGGACTCAGGCCCTGGAAATACAACAACAGTTTACTTTCAGCACATGCACATGTAAAATGGTTACGTTACCTTGAAGTACAATGTAAAAACCAAGGTATAATACAGCATCATGGTATTTTTCAAAGTACCATGGTATTAACATATTATACAATCATGGTACTGCAATGGTAAGTATAGGGTTAAACATGTTTCATTAAGGTTAATTATTTCTTGCAATATCTGTGATTCATAATATTGACAGTCGATTGCTTATAACAGATACATTGGCTGTGTCCTAAAACCTAGTGAGCTGCCTACATAGGCAGTATTTTAATGTATCAGATGTGTTCACGATGTAATTATACATTGGCAGTTATTCTTGACAAACATGTTGATCCCAGAATGCACTGTGAATCCATCCAAGATGGTGGACAATGCAGGATAAATATGAATATATCTACATATCAGTATTTTCTTAAGAAAATTTGGATATTTTATCCAATATTTGTTTATTTGAGTAGTGTTGTTAGCTTAACAACGTGCTAACTTCAAAATCTTTACAAATCCATTGTGATGAGTCTTTAGTGAGTTATTCATGAGAAGCGCTATTGTTATAATGTACAAAGTTCCAAAGCTGCTACATGTGAGCTTTCATTTCAGTTGTGTAGTTTAATGTATTTCTTAAGTTTACTGGAGTAGTATTGTTAGCTTAGCAACATGCTAACCTCAAAGGCTTTTGAAATCCATTGTGAATTGAGTCTTCTGTGAATTTTTCATAAAAAGCAAAACAAATTTGATAATGTACAGAGTTCCAAATTAGTCACATATGAGGCTTAATTTCAGTTATGTAAATTAATGTATTTCTTATGTGAAGTATTGTTGTTAGCTTAGCAACACGCTAACCTCAAAGTCTTTAGAAATCAATGGTGAATTGTGTCTTCTGTGTGTTTTTTATGAGAAGCACTATTTTTATAACATACAATGTTCCAAACCAGTCACAGGTTTCCTATCAGTTATGTAGTTTTGGAGTCAGAAATATATACATAAATAATAAATGAGAGTGACCTGAGTGTGGGAGGTGCAGGCATATCGTCGGTAGTAGCCGTAGTCACAGGACGTGTCCTCCAGACAGAAACTGGCCTTGTGTCCCTCTGCTACTCTTCTCTGTGAACTGGATTCCAGCAGGTCATAATGACTGAACTCGTCCATGCTGTGGTAGTGCCTAGAAACAGCAAAGTAAATCAGATTGTCATCATGCATCACTTTCAACTGGTGCTTTTCAAATTTTGCCTGCCTCTGGGAATCTCATTGCTAGCTGGGTTAGTTAATAGGATTTAGAATGCCTGCCATTCATTTTCAACGCTTTAATCCAATTAATGAATTTCCTAAACACTGGGACATATATCAGATCTTCAGGAAGAAAAGAATGTCGTGCAGAGCCTTTCCAAAAGAACTCCATGGCCAATGTGTGAGCTGGAATTTACACCACGCAAACCTCTGCTTATTTCACCTCAAATAGTCTCAATGGTGCCAGTGAAATTGTGAAAGAGACAGTTCAACCAAAAATTTCAATTATCTCGTAATTTACTTCACTTTTTCATGTTCTAACCACAAAAGGAGACCATTTTAAAACCGTTTTTCATGCATTTTTTCCCAATTACAATGAATGGGGAATTTCGAGCTTGAAAATGTAGCAAAAACCATCATAAAAGTATTTTTATATGATTTGTGTGCTATATTTCAAGTCTTCTGAAGCCAGACAATAGCTTTGTATAAGAAACAGACTGAAATGTCATCTTCTCCTCCTAGTAAGCTTTTAATTTGAGAATCACTGTTACTGGAGTTATTGAGTTGAACCAGATCAGTCTGACTTGTGAAGAAATAATTCATATTTGTAAATAAATCTTTCAGACGGTTTCTGTGAACTGGATTATTCAGACCATTTTTGAGAACTGAATCAACGATTCATTGAATTATCAAGATCCAACTCAAAAGAACAATTCATTCACAAATCCGACATACACTAGAAATATTGCACTCAAGTCATGCTGACTACTTTTATGAATTTTTGCATTTTTGAAGCTTAAAAGCTTCAGTCTCTATTCATTGCAATTATATGGAAAAATGCGACCAGTACATTCTTCAAAATTTCTCCTTTTATGTTCTACAGAATAAACAAAGTCATTTAGGTTTGGAATGAGTAAATGACTCGTAAAAGTAATTTCTGGGTGAAATATTCCTTAAAACCCATAGCCCAAAAACATAGCCCAAAATCACTTCATATTATCTTATTGGACGGTTCAATAGCCCCAGCTTAAAAAAATTGTGCAGTATAAAACATAAATAACAAACAGAAGACGTTCATATTATGGCACATCAAATAAATGCAGGTCAGCACACAGACCTTACGCCTCGGTTATGCATAAGACCTAAAGTCATTGTATACACTGGAGCTTGTCCAAATGTAAGCCGTAGTTGATGGTGAGGCACGGCTTTACTTCAGGACAAAACTATGCAGTGAGCCATTACTGAGTCAACTGAAATATAAGCAGCAATATTGGGCCTCTGCCATAACCATTTAGACAAGAACACAGACCCTTTTCCTTGTAAAAAACAGCACCACCAGCACTAGATTCAGTCAGATACAACGCTCAAACCATGATAAAGCTTCACAATCTTGCTTTTGCCTAAGGAATTCAGTTCATTGCATCATATCTGCTCCCTTTAGGGTTCTTAATAGTGGTCTGTGATGCATTACTAAACATGCAGCATCAGAAAACGATGCAAATGCCTGGACCTGTCAGATTCGGACTTACTGATGGCAGCTGTGCCATTCCCAGCTGTAGCGCGGCCTGCTGGGAAGAAAGTCGGAGGTACCTTGGTTCTTGACTCGCTGCGGGAACCTCAGCAACATGCGCGTGTCGTAGTCTCTCACGCTGGAACTGTATGCAGTGCTGCTCAACAAAAACGGCCCAATGGTTACAAAATATCAGACATTCCTTGAGTTTCTCATATTGTCCTAACAGCTTTCAGAATGTGTATCTTGGCCCCGTGGCCACATTTCAAGCGCACATGGAACAACTACAGATGCACGTTTCCAAAGAAACTGGACTGGACTATTCTTGTGTGCCCCAGTAATGTGTTTCACAGTCATGCATGTGATTAATCTTTCCATGTAAACAGCTTTATGTGAAATCTGTTTGTAGAGTTTCTCACTTCCCATCATGGCAGGACTTTTCGTTTAATTCTTTCCGCTCTCACAAGGCTGGTTTGAGTTATAGGATGTTCCTACCACATGGGATTTAAATAGAATGGGATACACTTGGAGGAATGTGAGAGTGCTAACTCTCCTTCTCTGGTTGCAACACTGCACCAAAAATCTTGATTACGTTCTTCTGTTTTATATCAACAATAATACCTCGCCAAGCAGTTTTCCTCAGCGGCGCATCTGAGATTGTACATTGGAATGCTCTGCACATAGGCGGACGCTTGGATGTAGTATGGGTCTCCAACAAGATCAGGCAAACCTATGAAACACTGAAGTGTTTTATTACAAAAATACACGAAAATGCACAGAATTAAAATTAAAATACAAGAAAGTTATTTAAAGCAGCTTAAACTAGCCTGACCACCTGCCAAGTGACAAAAACCCTTCGAAAAACCATCAGACCACCCTGAGCAGCAAACTACCTTAGTCGTTTTTATTTCCTGCAAGGATGCCATTATTGTAAACTAACAGTTTCAATTAAATTAAACACATGTAATTATGCAATTAAAATACAAGGGGAGGATCCGATGGCGTCTTGCTCTTTTTTTTACTTTAGAATTTTTCATATATCTTGAGTGGTATAGTTTAACCAATACATGGTGGATAGATTATGCATTTTGCGAGTGGATGTGATGCAAATCATTTTAACCCATAGTAATTATGCAACGTAATTATCAAAGATATAATTAATAGTAATTTTTATTCATTTACTTGGGAAGTTGCCAACTTATGAGCAACACATTTTTGTACACGATAAAAGCTCCTTGTGGTTTATCGGTTTGTCCGATTTGAGCATCAATAAACAATGCAAAACACTGGCATTTTGGAGTTTCTGCTAGTGATTTCTATGGAGAGAAAAATCACTTCCTGCCCTCCAGCTGCATTTCGCGCGTCATCAGAATCACGTGATTGCAAACAACCTATTGCTTTTATAAAATAATTACCATCTAAAAATAAATAATAAAAATATTTTTAAAACGTTAAAATGTTTAATTAATTTCAAAAATTTATTCATAATATTAATATTAATTCAAAATATATAGTTTTATTTTATTTTGAACAAACTGATTTTAGCTATAAAATGTAGTGTCTGACATTCAAACTAAACTGCGCAGTTATATACGGAAGTGAATAGGTGATTCATGTCACAGCTGGAATGCTGCATCGACCAATCAGCATCCAGGAAACTGTCTGCAGCATGTTATGTGTAAAAACCATGCCATGTTCTCCAGTTGTGTCATGATAAATCAGTGAAGTGTTAAGAACTGTATCAGTTAAACGTTGAAAGTACAAATGATTTGCAATGGTCACTTTGTCGCATCCAGTGTGGACAGCCTCAAGCTGTTGGCTTACCTCTGGCCTTTTTTTCATAATTTATTTGTTTAATTTTTTTGGCTAGTAGAAATTATGAATGGCCGGTAACTTAAAAATGTAGTAGCCAAATTGGCTGGTGAGTGAAAAAGTTAATTTCAAACCCTGCCCACACAGACTTTAGACTCAAAATGGGCCTTATGAACTACATGACCTCCCTGAACCATCTACAGTAATGCTGAAACGTGCCAGTGGGGCTAATTTTGCACAAAAATGGACGTCTGCCCAAACCTCCTTGGAGGTATGTGAGTCTCAGGTGAACTTTTTTAACAATGTGAAAACGTTGCAGTTGGCTCAAGAGTAGTAGGCTATGAAAAGAATAAAATGAAATACATTGCAACAACAAATAAAACCGTAAATGCCTATCCTGCTCCACGATCTGCTGGCGCATTCAAAGAGATAAATAAAAGTGTTTTTCTTCACAAGGACTCAGATGGGGTATTCAGAGAATGAAGCGCAGGCTCCGAATATCTGCTCATATTCCAAAGGCCAAGTTCAAACGTTTTAATAAAGTATTGCATTCCACTGTAGCTGTCTGACATGCCAATTGCAGTCGGTCTGTGCGGAAGAAAAATAGAAAACACTTTGTGCTCGTCGTCTTGAGAGCCACATGAACAGAACCAGCTGTACTGGGTCACTGTTGTTTTTCGTACATCACCCGGTACGTTCAGCACCCGGGCTTCCCTCTTCTCTTCTCTGGCAGCGGTCGCTCCTGCATTCCTCAGACTGTAGAACCACATATGAAAGTAATTAACCTAGTTCCTCTGTCCACGTTGCTTGCTTTCTCTTCAGTTGATAGGTAATGCAGTAAAAGTCGTCTGCTGAAAACACAGATGGCCTAAAAGTGGTAGTCAAAAGGAAATGAGGCAAAGCTGCGATGAATAATCAGTTAGGCACAGAATTGGAAGGCGTCGGTGCGGTCAGTTTCGCAGACAAAAATATCCAGTTGCCCATTATCAATATTAAAGTGACGCATAAAGAACTGCTCACACAGAAGTCACTTTCTGTTGGTCAACGCGGCGAAATCTTGAACAGGAACGAAATCTGCATGGTGACCGTGAACCCAGTAGTGCAGATTCCGTTTGAAATTGACTGGATTTTGCCGGCAAGCAACGAATGTGACTTACACAAGCAACATAAAAACATTCGCTAATCGCTTTCCTGAACTTCAGAGGAAAAGGGGAGACCTTATTGTAGTAATACGACAATGTTGTTTTGTGTTCCCAGAATGTTCTAGGAATGTTATAGTTACCGAACCCAATACTAACGTTTGTAGAATGTTCTGTATTTGGAAAGTAGCGCTTAAATGGACTTCATGAACTCACTAACTTACGAAAAAAAATCCCAATAGGGTGTTATCACGACATGTCATCAATAAAATATAGAAGTCGGCCATATTGGTGGCACTGAACATAAACAATGCCACTGAACCAAACGGAACTCGTGTATGGGCTTGGCGAAAAAATGAAGTAGTTCACTATAGCTGCATTTCCATTACAGATTTGTGCAAAAATTGTGTGATATTTTATAAATGTCGATAAAAAACTATTGGGAAATGACGGCGTTTCCATGAACCGATGTTATGCGACTAAATGTAATTTTTTTCCTCTCACGATAAGTCATGGTGATGGATGTTGGTAGGTTTACTATATCACAACCATCACACTAGCCATTATTTTTAATCGAAGGAGACGTTGATGTGTATCTTTAACGAAGCAGCGTGGAGAGCCACTTTTGGGATGCTTCTGAAACGTACCACGGCCCAGCTGCTACAAACACAAGCATTGACTAAAGTGGACGCAATCAGCTCCAGTGGCCGTGTTGGAGCTGTAATGCTCCGCAGACGTGTGCAGTGTAAATAAGGAGTTATCCAAGAATTAATGGCCAGGAAGCCCCTTATACTTGAAAGCAGCCACGTATGAGGTGTTTATTGGAGGTTATAGTACATTAAAGAATGATCATGTGACTTTTACGTATGCCAGGTGACCTGTAAATGCGACAAAACTTTTTCCATTGCAATTTTGCTAAATATTCCTTTTTCGAATTGCCTGAAAAATCCCCTCATGCAAGCGTAATTTTTTTTAGATATATGGGAGTTTTTGCAAAATTAAGTGTTTCCAGTGGGCATATTTTCAATTTTCAATTTCAATTTGCGCAGCTTATGTCGGGATAAGAAACAGAAGGAAGAATTGTCGGGTCATCAGTCCACGACAAAGGAGCCAACTCGTACGGATCTTTACCACCTAACTTTAGTTTGTCACAATGTTGTGCCCTTTCCTGCTTTCTAAGTCCCTCTCTATATGATTTAGCAGCTTCCACACGTATTTTCTGTAGTTTAGACAATGTCTTCAATAGTACATTAGCAGTGCAATCCATGCTGTTGTTTACATCCGAGTATCTACAATATGGCCGCGCATCCGGGTAACTGACCAAACGGTGACGTATAAATGCAAATGCTGTATATCGGTTTTGTTTTGTTTTTATTTAATTTTTTTAAATATCTGACATTACACTGCCCATCAATTCATATAATAAAACCTTTTTAAACAACTTAAATTGTAAATTAACTGATATATCAAATCTATAACTTGGAGAAGTGTATCAAAATAGTAACTAGTAACTCGGAACAGCTCGTTTCAGATGATTTCCCCTGAAAAAACAGCAGGTTTCCATTACTCAGAGGCAAGCAGCGAAGCCTTAACTGGTATTGTGCACATCCACACAGGCCTACGTGGCACTCGGCATGAGTAGGCTGGATTGGGAGAGAATTCATTGAGAGTGAACAAGGGGAGGAGTCCTTCTCGCCTTTCGCAGAACACAAATAGTAACGTCTTTCCATATTGCCTTCTAAACATTTCTGTAATTCCCTTTGGGTCATTTTTGAGTTCCCTCATTATAAATCCCATGGAATGGGGGCTGTTTATGGGTAGGAGTAAACCTCAATGTTATCACTGGTGGTGACAAAAGAAGAATTCAAAGTAAGGCCAGACTTTGGCTAAACATTAGATTTCCACAGACATTCTTCTGAACATCAGTGGTTTTGTAGTCTGGCCTTGTTTGCATCTTTTTTTCTCATAATAGGGTGATATTGTAAGTTGTTTGATTGAAAGCAGCAGAAGAAAGAGAGTTTAGTCTGAATGGCTATTAATACAAATATAGACAATGGGGACAAAAATAATATTGTGAAAGTAGAATTAGCTAAATAATACAGACAATATATATACAAATATTTCCAAAGCAATATTAAAATGTATTGTCTAAAGAGATAAACGTCTCCTGATAAGGAACACATACATGCAGGCCCAATGTAAATATTCAAATACAACTGAAATGGATTTGTGTCTTTTAATGGGTATAGAATTATTAATTAATAACATGTGTACTTGTCATATGACCTCATCATGATGCATGTTCAATTCAGCAAACAACGATGAGTTGGAAATATTTTTAAACACAATTTTATGTAAAAATTTTGTAATTTATAGGAGTATGATGCAAAAAAAAATTTGCTGCTTTATAAACATCTCTTCCATCACACTAGAAAAGACATTTACATACTGTTTGCAGTATACATGCTATTCACTGCAGCAATAGTGAGAGTAATATAGTAGTATGCTGTTCCAAACACTGTCACTTTTCACTATAGTGTAGTCCTAGCGCCACCTGTTGGCAAAGTTCTGTAACTATCATCATCTAGCATCTTGTTCATGTTCACTTTTCAAATCACTGACTTTTAAAAACATTTTATGTTTGAAAATATCTACAATGTAAATATTCAAATACAACTGAAATGGATTTGTGTCTTTTAATGGGTATAGAATTATTAATTAATAAGATGTGTACTTGTCATATGACCTCATCATGATGCATGTTCAATTCAGCAAACAACGATGAGTTGGAAATATTTTTAAACACAATTTTATGTAAAAATTTTGTAATTTATAGGAGTATGATG